TTTCTAGAAAGAGAGACACAGGCTAACTACTCATTGATAGTTTTTTTCTTAAAAGATGGAATTATAAAGTTTGGCACCAACACACTTTATACAAAACAATATGCTTAGAAAAATTTGGGATGTGGTTAACACAAAAAATATAATCATCATAAAAAAGGAAGAAAGTAAAACACTCTAATTCTTGTTTCAGTAAATAATTTAATAACTATTATTGATGTTTATACATTGTTTTCTTCCACCTATTCATTAAGTTAAGCTTAGAAAACAACAGTCCCAATGGCTCTGAGCCATCAATTACTTTGCCCATATATGACTGTTGCTCTTTTATTAAATTTTGCCTTTTATATGAGTAAGAGGTGCCTTAGAATGTCTCCTATAGTTCATTCTCTTCTCTGCCCTGTTTTCCTCTTAAAAAATAGAGTCAGTCACTCCGACTGGTTCATTTCTGGCTTTAGATTACTGGTACAGTAGACCAAAGTAGGCTGATGTAGCCACAAGGAAATTCAATTCTATTCTTATGTTTCATTGTGAAAAGAACATTTTTTGGATAATAATTCCTCTTAAGCACAGGTCTCAAACTTACATGTGTAAGTCATCAGGGGTCACATTAGAAGGGATAATTTTAGCTTCCCCATATTGACTCACAGATGTCTATATTCTTGTTGTTAGAGAATATCAGTTATTTGTTGATAGCTTAGAGTATATACTAATTTGGATAGACATGTGGGGCTCTTTCAGACATTGCTGTGGAAATGATCCTGTATTTTGGCCCCAAGTAAACCATGTCACGGTTCCACCAGCCAGCCTCCCTTCCGCATGATGAGCCACAGACATGGATCCAAGTCTTCCAGCATCACTTACTATATAATCATGATTTTTGGCACTGATTTGTGAAGTTACGTATTCATAAGATCAAGATCCCACATACACTGTACATAAAATAAATTTTGATTTTTCAACTGTTTTACACTATGTATCTCTTTCTGTACCAGCAGCATGTTCTTTTTTTTCTTTTTTTTTCAGCTTTAATTGAGTTTATTGGTATATTTTAGGGATACAGTATAGTTACATTCATTGTTGGGATCTTGTACCTCTACATGACAAGTCTTGATTCTCATGTTCTTTTTATTACTGTGGCAACTTACTCCTAGGAAAACGAGGCCCTGTGTACTTGTCCTTTTCCAAAATTGTGTTATCTTATACAATCTCAGGTTGATTTCATAATCTAAGAATGGATTATATTACAATTCCATTAATTATGTTAGGATGAAATGGTTACCGCACAATACTTAGTTTTTGTAGTCCTATGATAACAAACTTAATGAGAGGGCAACCAGATTTGAAATATTTGTAAAGATTTAGTTTTTTGCTTCATATCCCCATTTGAATTAGAATTTCTGGGAGCAGTAGGAAGACAGGTTCATGATTAAGCCCACTTTTTATTCTTACCTACAGTGAAGTTGAGCAAATCTATGATGCTTTCATCAGTCTCCTAATTTAACATTCAACAACAAAAAAAAACTGTGCGCTTGGTTTGCTGCACTACATTCTTAACTATGCCTGGCTCTCCTTCAGAATTCATGACAGGTGGACTGAACTTCCAGTGCTTATATGGACTAATTACACTCCTTCTCCCCAGGCTCCTCAGCTAAGGCCATCTTTAAGAAACTAATGACATTTCTCCAAAATAAACCCACTTGCTAATTGGACACAAGACAATATCTCCAGGGCAGTGAAATTTAGCCTCAGGAGTCCAATGCTCACAATACATGGTTCTAATAACCACAACCAGTGATCACCAGAATCTCTAAAACTAGTGACTTACCTGGAGAAGCCAAGTCTGAATGAATACAGAAGACCAGCCCCACTGACGCACATGAGACCTTCTGTCTTTAGGCTGATTCCTTCTTCTCAGCCATTTCCTGTGGCCGAGACTCTACTTTGCCAGGGAACCCCAATACCAAATAGCTGCTTCTCACAGAATTGGCTTGATGAGGACACCTGGAGATCCCTCCTGAACAGTGGAAACTGATTTTGTTGGTAATGTTTGAGAATACCTCTTTCTCGTCCCTTAGGGAACTGCATGGTGGCATTTCTGATAAGTGGCAGAGATACAAAGGAGAATGACGTGCTACTTTTTATCTCAGGCTTTAATATTGAATAGGAATGGTTTTTGTGGTTCTCTGAAGTCTTCTGGATGGTAATATCGGGCCACTACTGCTTCTAGGTAGATCACCCCTCTCCTTTTTTTTCTTTTGCTATTTAGTTGGTTGACTCATATGCTTCACTTCTCTCTTTTTTCACTACTTTACTTTTCTCAATTGTCTACTTCTGGATATATACTATGATCGAAATCTGTTCATTAAATTGCATATTAGTTAGGCAACTTTGAGAAATTCAAACTCTTCTTGTGTAACTAAGAAGATAAACATTCCACTTCTTTACTATTGGAAGCTGTCCAAATTATTTCTCTTGACCAATTAATTGATGTTTGGGAAAAATAACTATTAGAATTTTGCAATATGAATATGATATCTTGAGAATATGAAATCTCTGTAAATTGTCCATCTTTTGCGGACACATAGAAACCCTCAAATATTGAGTTTCTACTTAAATCTAATTTATGGAAAATCAAACGGAATATCTGAGAAGTTAGAAATATTTGACAGAAGTATCATTTCCAAGGATAATAACATGAATTCTATGCTGGTTCCAGAATATCATAATGATGGGTTTCTTTGAGGCCATGTAAATAGGAAATCTTTGGCTTTCCAAGTTATAGAGGTTGTTAGGGTTCATAGCCCTTGACTGATATCTTAGCTCAGAGCTGTTTTTGCAAAGAATCGTTCAAGGGTCCTCTGCTTCAGATTCTTCCATGCATCCTGAAAGTTTATTTCATAATTGCTTACCAAATGTTCTTCAGTTTTACAGCAAAGAGACTGAATAACCAAGTTAAGTGACTCTGTCATAGTCACACAAAGAGACTCTTGAAAACTAGATATTCTCACTCCACAATGAGGAATCTTTCACATTCACTTTATAATCTGTGAATATTTGGCTTCAAGAGAACTATTTTTCTGCTCTTGTGCCTGATCCCTGATATCATATTAAGAAGAGAGGGCTGTCTTCTCAGATGAACTGGAATAATGCACCACTAAAAGTGAAAACACATCATGAAATCCAATCCCTCTATGGTGTTGTATTAATACTACATAAAAACCCATATGACTAGAGTCAGCTGACTGAATATATGAGCACAAGTGACAAATAAACAAATTCCATGTACTTGGTATTAGGAGATATTCATATTATTTAAGAATCAGAGAATTTCTGCTTCTGTGGTCTATTTTTACATGGTATTAATTAAGTGGCATAATAGGAGTGAGAAGTGAATCAGTGATAAGTAACACCAAATGAAAATCTTTTGGGAAGGTGGCAAACCAGAGATAAGCAATGAACATAAATTTAGATTTTTCCTAAGAGTTTTGTAATGAGTAAAATCCATTTACCTACACAAAGGTATTATGTGGGGAAACTTTTGCCTTTCTTGACATAGAAAACATAATTAAGTAGCACACTCATACATATGTATGTAATGGAAACATAAATGGTGTAGACTTTATTTTTACATGTAATAATGTTAAATAAGAACAATGCACGATAATATAAATACAGTAATAGTAAGGAATGTAATAAGTAATTTTATATATTTGCAGATACAGTTTGTAGACTATAGGTAGGGCCAGTTTATAGTAAGAAAGAAAACATATTATTATTTCCCAATTCCAAATTATCGTCTTAGTTACATAAGAAGAGTTTGAAATTCTCGAAGTTGCCTAACTAAAATGCAATTTAATGAACAGATTTTAATCATAGTATTTACCCAGGAGTAGACAATTGAGAGAAATAAAGTAGAGGGAAAAGAGGGAGAAGTGAAGCATATGAGTCAACCAACTTAATAGCAGGTGACCAATAATTTAGGTTAAGGCCTAGAAAGAAAAATGTTGCCATTGTCTAAAAAATACAAAACCAAGATAGTCTGATGGTAGATGACAATAATTTCTCAACACAAAAAGATGTGAAACTTCAGAAGTAAATAAATGACTAGATGCAGCTAATTTTTACTGGACAGTTTTTCCACTAGAGAAATTTTACTTTTTAGATCAAGCAGTTGGAAAATGTATCCATGAAAAAAACATTCCAATCTTAGGTCTAACGATGGATGCAGAAATAATTATTTTTAGAGCTTTGCAAGTTGTTTTTAGTAGCAAAATATTATAAAGAACCTCATTGGTACAGCAATATATGAAGGATACAATATTGATGGATTTTAGCAGGGAAGTAGGAACTGTTGAAGTGCTCAACTGTCTCATCCTTCCTCATACCCTGGCAAGGTCTGAGCCATTTCCGCAAATCTTTCTTTCTCTAAGTTTTCCCGCGATGCCTCAGAATGGGAAAATTTAAGAGTGCTACAGAATAACTCAAAGATGGTAAGTCTCATTGTACCACCTCTTTTCTACAATATTCTATATTGTAGAACCTTCAGTAGTGCTGCTAATTAGTTTCTTATTAGTCAGTTTCTCAGAAAAAGTTTTTTCTTTTTTAATGTTTGGGGGACTGATAGAAGATCATGTTAGTTCTTCCCTTCCCACTTTGTGGTTTGGTAAACTGAAGCAACTATGTTTATGTTGGAATAGTACTCATTCTTTTCGTCTAAATTCTGATGAGATTCAAATAGCTGAATTTAACAATATTTTTTCATCTTTGCAGACTTGGTTTCCTTGAGCTTATACTGAGCAAGAAAACTATGATACCGCACATATGAAAGAGGAAAAGGATAATTGTTCGATAATTTCTTAACTGTTGGCAAGAGAGATGACTTGTTCTTCGCATCAGAGGAAGCCTCACAACTGGTGTCAGATATTCTATTTCATGTTTAACATTGAACCTTGTTTTAGTGTTTATAGAGAGAATGAAGAAATTCTACCAGATACCTGCAAATGCCCGCCACCTGCAAACTTTGTACTGTTTTCCACCTATTTCTGCTTTTCTTCCTGGATCCCGGCCTTCACTTCTGTCCACGATTTTCCTGTATAGAAATGCTCTTTGTGCAGACAGTCAATGAAACCATGGTGAGAGAGTTTGTGTTCCTGGCCTTCTCCTCTCTGGCCAGCCTCCAGAGGCTGCTTTTTGTCATCTTCCTGCTCATCTACCTGTTCACTCTGGGCACCAATGCCATCATCATCGCCACTATTGTGCTGGACGGAGCCCTGCACACCCCCATGTACTTCTTCCTGTCTGTCCTCTCCTGCTCTGAGACTTGCTACACATTTGTGATTGTGCCCAAGATGCTGGTTGACTTATTGGCCGAGAAGAAGACCATCTCCTTCTTGGGCTGTGCCATCCAGATGTTCACCTTCCTCTTTCTCGGCTGCTCTCACTCCTTCCTGCTGGCAGCCATGGGTTATGATCGCTACGTGGCCATCTGCAACCCCCTGCGCTACACGGCGCTCATGGGAGGTGGGGTATGTGTGGCATTAGTGGCTGCTGCCTGTGCCTGTGGCTTCATGGTGGCACAAATCATCACATCTTTGGTGTTTGACCTGCCTTTCCACTCCTCCAACCTGCTCCATCACTTCTTCTGTGACATCTCCCCTGTCCTGAAACTAGCAACTCACCACTCCCACCTCAGTCAGTTGGTCATATTCATGCTTGGTGTGTTTGTCTTAATAATCCCACTGTTACTTATCCTGATCTCCTATGTCCGCATCATCTCTGCCATTCTAAAAATCCCATCCTCCGTTGGAAGATACAAGGCTTTCTCCACCTGTGCTTCCCATCTCATTGTGGTCACTGTTCATTATGGCTGTGCCTCTTTCATCTACTTGAGGCCCAAGACCAATTATTCTTCAAGCCAAGACACTCTAATATCTGTGTCATACACCATTCTCACTCCATTATTCAACCCAATGATTTACAGTCTCAGGAATAAAGAATTCAAGTCAGCCCTTCAAAAAACAATGCGACAGGCTTCATGTCCTATTAATTAAAGGGCCAGTTTTTGCCTATTCACAAAGGCAATGTGCCAGGAAAAAAATGTGTTTTCATATATTTTCTCATTTATTTTTTCCAGCTGTGCTATAAAATAAGAAGATTTTTACATATGAGAATGAAATTAAAAGAAATTCTGTTGTTTTGGGGGCTTTCTCCAGTTAGTAGTACTCTAATAAGTTTGAGAAGGTAAGGAATAAGATCTTTCAGTTTCTCAAAATGCTGATCATTATTTACTGAAATAAATATGGTCAATCAAAGACTAATCTGAGAGCAAATCTGGACTCAACAGAGTGCAAAAAAAAAAAATTACCAAAACTACAGAGTTGCAATAAATAAAACATAAAATTGGCTTTTCTTGATCTTCCTTTCTTGAAAACAATGAGCAACCTTCACTTCATAAATTCTAAAATGACCAGACTCATCTGGGCCCTGACTCTTCTCGACATATTTTTGCTTTTACTTGGGTTTGATTTGTCCCTTTGAGATTGAAATCTCTGTCTGTTATCTCCTATGCTTATGTGTATCTTTCCCATGTTATCTTTTCTTAGCCCCCACTTTTATTCCGGATATCTTAATTATTAATTCTTCTCAAGAGAACTACCAGCATTGCATAAATTGTTAAAATATCTCAAGTAGTCCCAAACAAAGGGCTTGAGTTAATACTAATAGAAAGAAATCTGGAGTCCCAGAATTTCTGGATAATCCATGGAAATATTTTCCAGTGACTCCCTTAGTCATATAAGATGATGTCAAATGTCTTTTATTAGGGAGTCTTTGCCTATCTGTGCATAATTACTATTTCTAAAGTGTTTACTATCCATTTACCTTATTTTGGCTACTTCTGTATTATGAAGGTAACCAACTATTTTCTCTTCCCCAAGAAATGATTTTGTATTCTCATGTGCTGTTGTTTCTTCTTGAAATAGCTCCTCTCCTTTACTTATCATATATATTTGAAACACACACACACACACACACACACACACACACACACGCTATGTTTTAAGACAATCTCAGCTCTCACTTTAAACTTCTCTTGCATCTGCTGGACCCATTTATGATGATGGGATTAAATTCTGCTTTCTTTGTGTTATCATAACAAACAGATCTACTTTATCATTTCAACAAATTTATACTCTTTCTTATGACCTCCACCTCATAAACATTATGGTCTGGTGTAAGAGTCCCCCAGGAAGCAGATAAGTTCAGAAAAATATCTTACCTCCTGTTTAAATTCAGGCTCTGAAGGAAGATTACATGCTGGGGTCAGCCAGGGAAGACTGAAAGACAACTGTTTTAAATGGGTTGGTGAGGAACTGGTTGACCAGGGGAATTGACATTTAATATATAATCCAAAAGGCCAATAGGTGTCACCAGGCAAAAGATCATTTGTAGATTTTTCTATTGGAGAAGAACAACATATAAGATGTAGAATAACATTTAGACAAGAAAAATCTCAATGTTTTGGAAGAAAGTAAAAAAGGTTCTTTAAATTTTTAATTGACAAATAAATATTATATGCATGTACTGTGTATCACATGATGTTTTAAAGTGTGCCTTATGCAATGACTAAATCAATCTCTTTTTATACATACATATTTTTTTCAGCTTTGAGTTTATTGGTACATTTTAGGGATACAGTACAGTTACATTCATTGTTGGGATCTTGTACCTCTACATGACAGGTCTTGGTTCTCATTTTTTCCCCTTGTCCCTGCCCTCCCTTCACCTCCTCCTCCCCTCCCCATCTACAACCACTTTATTTCCATCTTTTCATTATCTCACATTTTTTATTTTCCCTTATTACCCTTCCCCTACCCATCCCACCTTCCCTACACCTTTTGCCCCTTTCTTCCCATTTCTCAATGTCAGTAATCTTATCAGGATCTTCTGTATTATTGTAGATTATTCACACCAGAGAAACTGTTCAGTATTTACACATGTGTGCCTCATTTATTTCACTTAGGAGTATATCCTCAATATGTGTCCAATTTCCTATGAATGAATCTATTTTCTTGTTGCATTCATATTTTTGATGCAGTGAAAACACATGGAATCTACCAGCAATTTTCAAGTAACATTAAGTATGTTTTTCTGGTGCACATTAGATTATCTAACTTCATTGTTGTCCCCTTTGACCATCATCTCCTCAAAGCACCTAAACCTCTTTCCCCATCCATAGCCCTCTGCTACCATTCTGTCCACTAATTCTATTATTTGACTTCTTAAAATTCCATGTGATATTTTAAGAAATCAAATAATAAATGCTGGTGAGTTGTATATTTTGGGTGCGAACCCTTTAAGGGAGACGTGACTGTTCCAGAGGTTGCCTCCTCGCTCGGATTGTTGTTCCTTTACTGTGTTTTACAGATTTGATGCAACCTCATCTGCCTATTTTTTAATTTTTTTCCTTGTGCTGTGGGGCACAGCTGCCTTTTCTTCCCTCTCTCTTCAATGAATTTGAATTTCCTGATGGCATGAATTTCTATTTTGAACACGAATTTGTCTATTCAGAAACCCCGTACAGTGCCTCACACTACAGAGATACCCATCCTACAAATGATCTTCCTGTCTGTTCATTCTGTCCCCAAACTTGTCCCATCTTCACACTGAATCAGGTGAAGATTGAGTCCATTCACACAGGCACTCAGGTCCCTGGCATAGAAATCGTCTTTATCTCTTTTTCAAATCTTCCCGTGACACATTAAATCAGCCAACACCTTCTACAGGTTCGACGGCTTGAAAGGTCCTCCATAACACTCCGCTTCCGTCTCCACCGGGTGGCCCTGTCATTTTTGGATTACTTCGAGAACATGAAGTCCAACTGTGTGCAATCCACTCTTCACATGGTCGACGGGAAGGTTTTAGGGTCGTTGTGGAGTCCGATTTAGATAATGTACGATAAACATTTAGAATCATGTGTATCCTATCATGAACACTTTTAAAGGATTTGTTATGATGGTCCTTATCATCGTCATTTTCTAAAATAAAAACATTATCAGACAATATTCCAGACGACAAATTCTTGAATTGCTAACAGATTTGAAGGTAAATTTTAACTCTGTACATTAAAATTCATACCAAAGTATTGCTATCCAAATGATGAGATATTGTTTTATGCATCTTGAGCTTTTTTACATTTTTGTGAAATTTATGTATTTTTAATTTGCACACTATTCAGATTTCAGAACTTCATTCAAGTGTAACATTCTCTATGCAATGGTTGGTCCTTACATCTGACTCGTGATTATTTTCCGTATGCCCTGCAACTGATGCTCACATCTCATCTCCCTTCTTCACCCCCATCGGGGGGTTCTGAAGTCCCTGCTCCCTTTGTTTCCACCATCGGACATTTAATCATTTAATTTCTTAAAGCAGAATATCATTCATGTGACCTTGCATCACCTGCATACAACACAACTCACAGCAGAAACTAGAAACTAAATACATGCTTAGCACAGAAAGAAAGCTTATGTTTCTGGGTTCCGCAGCTACTGAGTATTCTCACCTGGTGTCTCTACTCCCAGCTTTGCTCTTTGCCGCGATCGCTGTTTATGATGGGCCTCATCAACCTGCTTGCCTGGCATTTCTCAACATCTGTTTCCCCCCTTGAAATACAGGCTATGGATAAGAGTCAAAGGACAAGGACCTGGTTGCTTCCAAACAAATGGGGCAAATCAGGAACTTTCGGAGAAAGACCAAGGAAGAGTTTTATCAGTTCCTTTCTGCTGATAATGTTCAGTGGTGTCACGGGGGAGTGAGACTTCTCTAAGAAGTCTAAAGCAGGTATGCAAATACTTTCCCGATTCTACTTCATGACTTATTATTTGGCAAAAGAAACTTGAAGTCCATTTACCCTTGGGATCATAGTTGCTAAGTGAGTAGAGACGGAATTTGTGTCAGAAGCAATATAGTAGTGGCTTCTCTACAGTGCCGGGTAATAAAAATACCAATTAAGATATGGACAATGGTGCTGGTTAGTAGGGAAAAGAGTGTATTAATGAAGATCATTAGGGCTGTGGTTGGCCAGGCCATACAGCAGAGGAACAATGATTGTCATTATGAAGAATGAACTGGTAAGTCTTTTGTTATGAGTTTGCAAGTTTTCAGAGAATGAGAGGAAGATATGTAAAGTACTGAGAAGGTACCAGTTGTGGCACATTACAGAGATATTCTAAAGGTCTGAGGTATGATTAGGAAACAGGGCAATTGTATTCTTCTATACAGCAGACCTATATTTTGGGGAATGTGAAACTCTTTTTTTTAAAAAAATTGAGTTTAGTGGTACATTTTAGGTATACAGTACAGTTACATTCATTATTGGGATCTTGTACCTTTACATGACAGGTCTTGGTTCTCATTTTATTCCTCTTGTCCCTGCCCTCCCTTCATCCCCTCCACCCCTCCCCATTTACAAACACTTTATTTCCATTTTCTCATATTTTTTCTTTTCCCTTATTACCTATCCCCTACCCTTCCCATTTTCCCTAAACCTTTAGCCCTCTTCTTCCTATTTCATGTAGACAATTATGTCATTAGGATCTTATGTACTATTATAGTTTTCCACATCAGAGAAACTATTCGGTATTTATACATGCATGACTTATTTATTTCACTTAGGAGTATATTCTCAAAATGTATCCATTTTCCTATGAATGAATCTAATTTCTCCTTCTTTATGGCTGAGTAGTATTCCATTTTATAGAAAAGCCACATCTTCTATATCCAGTTTCCAATTGATGGGCAAATGGGCTGTTTCCAAGTTTTAACTATTACAAACTGTGCTGCTATATATTGAAACTCTTTCATTTTAAGATTCAGTCTTCTTAATTTCATGAGTATATTAAAGAAAGTAAATGATCTAAAATCTTTAGCTGATTTCCAAGATGATAACTAGCTGTGCCTTTCAACTTACATTCTGTTCCAAAATTGTTGAGATCTTAAAACTAGGGTGTATAAATACATGATAGTGAAGACTTGCATGAAAGCTCTGCATGAGTAGACCAGGTTGAGGTCTTAATGTAAAGATAAAAGAGCAACATTAGAGGTAATGTAGAATGGTTATAGTTCCTGTTTCTATAATTAACTATCAAGCAAGCAAAGAAAGAAGGAAGGTAGAAAGGAAGGAAATAACAAAGAAAGGGAAGAAAGAAAAGACAGCAAAAAGGAAATGTTTTATTAGGGCCTTTTATGTATAATTCTGGGCCAAATTTTTTGCATATGCTATTGATCCTCATAATTTCCAAAATTTTAGGAAAGGAAAACTAAAATTTGAGAAGATTAAATCATGTGCTCAAATAAAGTGCTGAAATAAAAATTGTAAATTTATTTCTTTTGCTCACATCTAGTATTTTCTTCATTAGGTAAATCATCATCTTTTTTCGTATTTATTAGAAAAACCTTTACCAGTGATGTTAAAAAAGTACCTATAAAACAATTGCAATTATTTTTTCATGTATTAATTTACTTAGTCACTGTTTTCCCATTTGAATAATTTTATTTACTATGAACTCTGATGTTGATGAGGTTAGAGAGATGTACATAAAGAAGTAGTGCCAGGCATATAAACTTTTTACAAATGAACAACAATCTGGTTTTTGCTTTGTAAGATTTCAAATTATGTTGTACAAGGAGGATCATTATTTATATTTCTGTACAATGTGAGAATGTGTGTAATGAATGTTTCATGGGTGCAAGAATTTATTTTATTTTAGTTCCTTTATGTGTTCCAGACACCCAGTGGTGTGGCTTGGATTGACAGTGCACCCAATAATTATGTCAAATTGAAAGAGTGGGAATCTGATTTGAGAGAAAATAATTTGAAAGATTAGAACATTTGCTCAAATACAAGCAATGCTGTTTGTATTTGGCAGACAACAATTGTCAGAAACATTGTTTTAATATGAAATGTACTGCTCTGTGCTCAATGAACTACACGAATGTCTGTCTGACTAAAACATCAGGATTAGATTTGGGAGCTAAAAGAGATCAGTTTGGAATGTTATAGGAAGCCAAATTATAAAGTTTTTCTTTTGCTTTCTTTTTCCTTTCTCTCCCTCCCTCCTCCCTCCCTCTCTCCCTCCCTCCTTCCTTCCTTCCTTTTTTCTTTTTCTCTCTCCCTCCTCCCACCCCCTTTTTCTGCTAGGAATTTAAAATGTTATAAGGCTTGCAGTGTTCATTATAGGATTTTGAGTAAGACAGTACTTGGTTAAATGCATATTTTAACATCCCTCAGTTTGTTACCTAAATTGAACTGTTTTGACACACATTTTGCTACTCATTTTCTTATCTTTTATCACCTTCTGCAAACTCCATACATGCAGTGTCATATCTTCCTGTATCTCTTCCATTCTTTATTCCAAATAACTGTACAACAATCTCCTCTTATCCCCTTCTCAGGCCAATACGCGTGTAGGTTTAAAAAAATAATAATCTGTAGTTCCTTGTGTGAAGTGAATCTGTTTCTTTGATTTCTCCATTCAGCCCCTAGAATGAAAGAGGAAAGACAGATATATCAAACATAAAGAGTGCCACGAAATATTTACTTTTCCTTCCAGAAATCCTGATTCTCTTCAGAATGAATAATTTTCCCCCCTCTTTTGAAGAATCACTGATGACAAAGTCAGCAGATATGGTAATCAAGGGGCCCAAAGAAGTAAAGAAAGTTTATTTTCTGATATCACTGATCATTTGTTGTTCAGCTTATCATTTTATAAATTCTATGCCCACACCTGTATGCTTCATGCATTCAATTTCTACTTTCAAACCTTATTCATTTTACCATGTTTTATAAGCTTATTGTTAATAATAATGCTACTTTTAATAATTTTCCATTTGTTTGCATTCTATTATTCCTGATTGTGCTTTTGTTGTGAATAAATGTTTTATTTTATAGTCAATTTTTCTTATTAACTGTTTTGATAATATTTCATCATGTTCAGTTTTCAGATTTTTCTAGGCAGTGCACCTTTTTTCAAATCTAACAATTTTGCATTTCCTTAACATAAAAAGATCTTTGAGGATTATGTTTAAATTTAAATTAATATTTATATTTATTTAAATGTACTGATTTAATTAATATTGCAACTAAACCATTTAGCTGGTGTTGAGATGTTTTATATTTTTAAAAAATGTATTACATTTTTGTTTATGTATATAATTGAGGTACACATTTTTTTCAAATGACAGCTTTAAACTTAGCCATTTATTCAAATATGAAGAATGTAATTGATATTTATTTTCTAGAACTCTTTACAGTTTCCTTTGTATTTTGCTTCTGACCCAACAAGTATTCAAAATTGTCTGGTAGAAGATCCTTTTTTTATTATCTATTTATAATTTAGTGTATAAATAATAATTATGGAATATTGTTTGTTCCACTTTATGGTACCTGTTGAAGTTTTTTATATGATTTCAAAGTCAATATTTTTGATACTTCACGTAAGTTCAACATGTTTCTCTAAGATACACACTTCTAATTTTGCTGTTTAGGTCTCAACTCTTTCATCACTTATTTTCTTCATCTCTTCTAAGCAGAATGGTATGCTGATGTTATCATCAGATTTTGTATGTTTCTTCTTTGTATATATTTTATATTATCTTTCTTACAACAGTTGCACCTATATTTTTGAAGTCATATAATAGATCACAATTTCACTGTGAATTGTAGCTATTAACCTTAAAGTATATTTTGTTGTTTTGTGTTGTTCACTTAATGGTCCTGGCCTGAATCTTAAATTGTTAAATACCAAGACAGTAACTTTTGTTAAAATTGTTTGATCATTATAGTTTCCACTTCTCTCTATACTTTCTGAATCATTTTGTTACAGACATATCTTGTATAATGTATAGAGAAAGTTCTGCTTTGAAAGCATCTCTGATTTTTTTCTTCAATCTTGTTTATTTTTTTGGCATTCATTGTGGCTTATCCATGTTTCATCTATTATTTAGGCAGCAATAAGAAAGTATTTCTTCGGTCATTTTTCTCTTCATTTTCTTTATTATATAATCATTATTTTGTCAAGAACATAATATTTACATACTATGCTTTAAACTTATTTCTGTTTATGTTGGGCTTGGATTTATAGGTAGGTATATTTGTGAAATTAGCTGTATTTAAAATTAGGTGTTATGTAATGTTTATTAAGGTTTGTTTATCATATAGTAGTTACACTTATTATCACTAATTCTTTCACTGAAAAGTCCACCATCCATCTTGTGTTGAATGGATCTTTTATCTGGGTAATTTATCAAGAAAAAGCTAGTTAATATTCCTACATATTTTTTATATTTGAGGATAGTAGTCTGCATGTGGTTCCTTGGTCAGACTCCCCTTCCTTGAATTTCTTGAAGATCTCAACACTCTTTTCAAACATTGTGTATTGCTTCCAAGAACTATAATGTTGTTAGTTACCAGTATTTTTGCTAAAAGTTACCATACTTTTTTCTCATTGAGCTTATTGGTACTCTTTAGGTATACAGTACAGTTACAATCATCATTGGGATCTTGTACCTTTACATGATGTATCTTGGTTCTTATTTTTTCCCTATTCCTCTGCCCTCCCTTCACCCCCTCCACCCTTCCTATTTACAATGACTTTGTTTCCATTTTTTCCTTTACACGTACTTTTTCTTACATTTAATAATTTGAGTAGGGTATGTCTTAGATGGCTTTTCTTGGTCAGTGTTCATAAATATTTCTAAAGTCATGAATATGAAATAGATGAAAAGATGATGGAATATTATTATATACAGACACAGGTCTTTTATTTCAGGGAAGTTTACATTAATAGTTTACAATAGGAAATTTGCATATTATTCTATTAATGCCATATTAGATCTGCTTGTATTTCTTCTATGACCATCACCTTGTAATCTCTTGAAAGTATTTCTGCATTTTGTTTAATTATGTTTCATTAGTATGAGGAATGTTTTCTTCTTTATGTTACTATATTGTTTTTGTTATTTTCTTTTATCTTGTTTTGTTGTTGAGGGGTCATTTTGAACTTTATTAAATATTATTTGATTCAGATCTGTAGTTGACTTCCTATTATGCTCGTGTCTTATTTCATATAGCTTTAGGTTTTTTTCCTTTTCCTTTGATCAAAGATCTATTTTTCCCAGCCCATACTTGTTAAAAGATGCACACAAAGGACTTTAAGGCATTTTTATATCTACTTGTTAAAATTTGAGGTTAGTTGGGTGGAATTCTACTTAGGTAAAAGGTATTCTTCTTGTCTGTAATAAGATTTTATTTATTTATGCTAGAAAATCAGAAGTAGCTTTTTTTTCCCTGCATTTTAACTTCAGAAAACACTACTGCAGGTTGCCAAATTCAATTTACATTGCTTTTCATGCCCCCTGGAATATATGTGATGTTTTTCCTAAAGGCAATTTATGTGCCAAAATTCAATGACACTTAGGCATACCATGATTGCTCTAGGGATGGTGGAATCCATATTTACCTAGACAGAGCTGATGATGGATAACATAAAAGAATATTAGAATAGCTTTGAACACTTCAGAAATTAGTGATTAAGCATATAAATCATTATCATAATAATATAATTCATCACAATAATTAATCAAAATCTGTTTATTTTTCTTGAGCATTATTGAATGCCGAATACTGCTGTTGTTTAGAGGAGAACAGATGAAATAAATATTCATAATTCATAATGTAACTCAATTCTTGTATATTGAATTTGATAGAATCTATTTCCCAATTCTGTATTTATGCATGTAGACTTCTTTTTTAAAAATTTAGAATGTTTATAATGTTTATTATTAAATTACCTGGTACAAGATTAGTTTTTTCTTCTTCTTTATGTTAGTTTAGCACTTTTTTCTTTTTGGCATGTTTTTATGGATACTTTTAAGTCAGAGTTGTAATTGGGCTTTGATAACATGGTAAATATTATCAGACTGAAAATTAAAATAATTAATGATTTACCATTAATTTTACAAACTTGTTTGATGATTTCTAAGAATGCAGTAAAGATCATGGAGAAGACTACCACAGAGACTTATCAAATGAATCCAACCACTCCAAAGCCTTCATCTAGTGATTAAAATAGACAAACACAGAAAATTCAAATAATCAAAATGATCTCAAAATTCTTCCTCCAAATATTTAAAGTAGTTTAATATACCATAAACTCACCCTTTCAATTTTTAAAAATTAGTAGAAGTGCGTGACCATCACTATCATCCAATGTTAGAACATTATATCATCCTTAAAACATGTGTTGTTTATTTTCACTCAAATCTTATTCTACCTTGAGAACAAAAATACAATTAATGGGCAGAGGATTTAGCTCAGTGGTTCAGAGGCCTGCCTTGCAAGCGCAAGGACCCGAGTTCAATCCTCGGTACCAAAAAAACAAAACAAAACAAAAAACCTTAAAAATACAATTAATGTACTCTCTCTGCTGTGTAGACTTTCCTTTTCTGGACATTTCATATAAATATAATTTGCACCTTATATAAATAAAAATTTTTATTCTTTTTGCACTTGGCCGTTTTGACTCAGAAGAATGATTTTTAAAGATCTATAATGTGGTATGTATGTAATAATATTTCAATTTTTATTGCTGAGTAAGAGTTATTCTTATGAAGATCATTTTATTAATACCAATTTTTGATTATTCATTCATAAGTTGAGAGACATTTGGACAGTTTTCTTTTCTTGACCGTTATGAGTAATACCTCATGAACATTCACATAAAAAGCTTTGTGAAGATAATCTCCATTTACCTGTGCTAGATTCCTAGGAAAGATTTTTTTTAAAGATTTTGCACAACATGATGAATATGGATAATAATTGAGTATTGTACATTTCAACACAGTAAAAAAAGTAAAATTCAAATGTTGTCATCAGAAAATGGTAAATATTTGAGGTGGTAGAAGCATTAACAATTTTGATTTAGTCATTGCATATTATATTAAAAAATTATGATGTTGTCTAGGACTCTATAAATATTTACAATTATGATTTGTCAATATACAATAAAATTGAGGAATCATGTGATAAGTTTATGTTTAGCATTTTCAGAAAATGCTATACTGTTTTCCAAAGTGAACACTTTATTATTTTTATTTCCACTGGCAACTGAGAGGATTTCAGTTACTCCACATCTTCACCAGTACTTTCAGTTGTCTATTGTTTTAGTTATAGTCATTTTGGTGCATGAAAATAGTTCTTTCATTGTGGTTTTTAATTTGTATTTCCCTAACAACTAATGTATTGAGAATATTTTCATATGTATATTATCCATTACTCTGCTTTGCTGAAATACCTATATAAATTGCCCATTTTTTTAGAGCTAGATGCTATTCTTCTCACTTAATCGTAAGAATTATTTATATATTTTGAATGCAAATTCCTTATTAGTTATACATTTTTTGAGTAAATTTTTGCCATCTTTGATATACCTCTCATCTTCACAATGGGTATTTTTGGAGTGTTTAACTTCTGGGTTGCTAATTCTGCCCATCAGTTCGGTGTATGTTTTTATGCCAGTCCCATGTAATTTCGATTACTTTGTAATAGAAATTTTGAAGTCAGAAGGTACAAATCCCCCATCTTTATTTTTCTGTTTTACAATTATTTTGGCTATTCTGGCTTCTTTCTATGTAAATTTTATGATTACAAGAAGAACCTGCTAACAATTGATAACTGCTGTGTTAAATTTATGGGTTAATCTGACAGGAATTGACTTTATTGTCTTTTAGCATAGATACTCTTCATTCACGCAAAGCTTTAATGTCTCTTAAAAGTGTTTGTGAAAGAGTACAGCATTTTAGTGAGAAGAGAAATAATGATTGCTTGTTTTCTATGTATGTGTCATGCCCTTCTTTAAATTAAACTTAATACCAAATTTTTTGCTACTGTAAATGAAACCATTTTCATAATTTTGTTTTTGGATTTTTTTATTTCACTAGATGTAGTAGACAAATAAATAAACCCTGAAAGACATCCTGGTTCTAATCCCCAGAATCTAAGAATATGATATATGACATTCTTAAAGAGGGAAATTATGGTTGCTATACAGACTACTAACTTTCAAATTTGGAAACTATCCTGCATTATTTTAATGGACCCAGTGCATCCAGAAGGGATTTTAAAAGTGAAAGAGAGAATCAGAGAACTTGGAAACAGAGATGTGACTGTGTTACCTTTCAAGATGGAGGCAACTGATAGCTAAAATAGGAGAGGTCACTGGAAACTGGGAAAGGTAAGAAAGGCAGTGTTCTTTCCCGGCTCCCTCAAGAGGAACACAGGCTATACGTTCTTTTGTCATGCACCTGAAAATGTCTTTTTTTTTGTAGGTGCTGGCAGAAAACCTTACTAGGGTCACTGAGTGCTTGTTGCTGGATTTTTCAAGCCTTGGTGAAATTTAGCTTGCTCCTTTGTGGTTTTCCTCTTTCTGTATCTAGTGATGCTTACTGTCAGTGCCACCATGGCCATCTTTCGTCTAGACCCAAGCCTATGCACACCGATGTATTTCTTCCTTGGCACTCTCTCAACATCTGAGACATTCTACACTTTTGTCATCCTGCCCAAGATGTTCATCAACCTACTCTCTGTGGTCAGGACAATTTCATCTACCTGTTGTGCCACACAGATGTTCTTCTTCCTCGGTTTTGCTATTACCATCTGGCTGCTTTTGGGTGTGATGGGCTGTGACGGCTACGCTGCCATCTGTCACCCTCTGCATTACCCCATTCTTAGGAGTCTGCAGGTATGTGGGAAACTGGCCACTGCCTGTGTGACTGGAGGCTTCCTCGCTTCATTTATAGTCATAGATTTAGTTTTTAGCCTCCCTTTCTGTAGTGCCAACAGGGTCAACCACTACTCCTGTGACATCTCACCAGTCATCGTCTGGTGTGTACCGATTTGGATGCTCGTGAGTCTGTCATTTTCATCTGTGGCGTCCTTGTACTTGTGGTTCCCTTTTTCTTTATCCGCATTGCTTATCTCTGCATTCTGAGAACTATCCTGAAGATTCCCTCAGCTGAGAGCAAAAGGAAAGCCTTTTCCACCTGTGCCTCTCACTTCACTATTGTTGTTCACTACGGCTGTGCTTCTTTCATCTATCTGAGGCCTAGGACAAGCTATGTGTCCAACAAGACAAGCTTGTGACAGCGACATATACCACTGTGACTCCACTATTAAACCCCATGGTGTACAGCCTCAGAAATAAGGATGTCTAACCTGCTATCAGAAAAGCGATGGGCAAGAAAGGATCTCTAACACCATAGAAGTAAAAGACTATTACACTTTAAATTCTTAATGAATAGTCTGCCTTTATTGTATATATCTATAACTGATTCACTGAAATAAGGACTCTGAATTATGCAACTCTGAATTATGCATTATGAAATGTGTTTTTCACCTCCTGATCCCTTTGAGTCTAATCTGAAAACAATGTGTTTCAGCTTCTCAGATGGACTCTCTAGGAGCCTCTCAAATTTAAATGTCCAGGCTGCTCTTACAACTAAAAGTCTAAATTAATTTTGAATTAAAGATTTCCCCTTTCCCTGGTTTTAGCCTTCTTTAAATAGGGAAGCCTAACCTGGAACCAAAGAACGTACATATTAGCTCTGTCAACAACCGCTTCTCTCACTGCTTGCTCCAGCGACTCACTTCTCATGCATTACACTTGGGAGGGAAGTGAGAGTACAGTTCTCATGATTGCTGCTGTCGTGCGTTGGCCCACTAGGAACTTTTACCCCTGACTCGTGATGCATTGGAAGCTATATCTGGCTGAAAGCTTGTGAGTTTGTTTCTTGATAGTAAAAACTTTCCGCCTCTCTAGATCACCTCTCCCCTGGAGGTTCTTATTATGCAACGTCCCCTTTTCTTGATTTTAGAACAACTTTTCCTTCCCCATTTTCCAGTAGTCTAATCCAAAAGAAAAATGTGAGGACTATCCTGAAGACTCCACTTACAGGCAGTTGAAGAACAGACAATTTTTATGTCTCGGTGTTTCAGACCAAAAGCCACAGGCTTTTTCATTTAAGAATTCATTGTTTTGTTTTTAATTAATTTTAAAAATTGATATGTGTTTGCAATATATAATGACTCCATATATCATGGGGAGTTGGTACATAATTGTTATACACCTTATTTGTATTGTTTCTTATCCCTGAGCTCTCTTCTCCCTTGTCTTATCCAATTCCTGGTCCTTATCTGATTCCTGGTCCCCTTCCCATCTGCAAAAGCTCTATTTTTCTTTTTGTTCTTCTTCAATAATTTTTTCCACCCCTTTCCTTCCTCCCTCTCCATCCCTTCTTCCACCATCCATGTGAAAAAGATTTCCCTACTTTCTATTTATCTACCTTGTATTTTGCTATCTATCTATCTATCTATCAATCATCTATCTATCTATCTATCTATCATCTTCTGTCATCTATCATCTATGTACTTGGACTCTCTCTCTCTCTCTCTCTCTCTCTCTCTCTTGTACCAGGGATCGAACTCTGGCCCTTACACTTGTGAGGCTTGTGTGTTTTTATTTCATTTAATGTTATGGTTACAAGGTGCAACCATTGTCCTATGAATGCTTCAAGTTCCTCAAATTTCTCAGGTGAAGTCAGATAGCAATCTTATTTGGCCCCTTGTCCCCAGGAGCTACATATTAAAGAAGTTTCCTATTCTGGGTAAAGGGGAGAGGGAAATGAATCATTGAGAAATCAATAACTTCCTCTTATGATAGTATTTCCTCCCTCATTTTAACTCAGATTTTTGTAATTTGATAAAAGTTAGCACATTTTTCTAGAAGTTTTTATCTGTATCAATAGTCTGTATCCCGATCAGTGGTATAACCATGGAGAATCATGCAATCACTCTAGGGCACATATTGAAACACAGGGGTCTTTGAGGAACTGTTGAAAGTTATGCATCAAATAAATGAATTCGTCTCACTGACATGAAACATGCTTACCGTGTAAGGAGTTTACAGGGTTTAAAGTACTTCCAAGGATCTTTCCACAATTCACAAGCATACTTTTCCCAGGGCAAACTCATCTAAATCTTTAACTCTATTTTTACAGCTTCATTTTTTCTTTTTAAAATTTCATGCTTTGTTATAATGTTTTTGTTTGTCCTCTAAAAGGATTATTTATACCCGCATGTCACAGATTTTATGTGTTATACAATTATACAATGATCAGAGAAACTAACTGGCATCTCTTCTGCTACTTTCCAGATTTCTTTACTAGATTTAAATTCTTCAATATTGTATCACATAAAATATCACTGTGAATGAAACAGAAACTATTCTAACTTGGGTAGCACATATAATTAACCAGAGAAGTGATGTTTTCTTTCACATCTATTAAAAAACTGGAAGCCACTGTGCATCACAGAGTTTGTTTTTGTGTACAGAATGTACAGGCATTATTACAGTTAAATTCTAAAGTGCAAAAAGCAATGGTAGTTAAATATATTCTGGAAGTGGATTTTGTACTTAGTGCCAACATCAACTTTCCATAAAAAGTGGCTGAATTTTGTTTTTGTTTGTTTTGTTTTGCTTTTTTGGTACCAGAGATCCAACTCAGGACCTTGCACTTGTGAGGCAGGCAGTGGCACCACTGAGCTGAATCCCTGGCCCGAGTGGCTGATTTTTTTCTATCTTATTTCATGGATCAGATTTCCTATTTCCTCCTGAGTTTCTTATTTACCAGTAGAAATACAGAAGAGTTCGAATTATTTTAAATGAGATTGTAATGATAATATACTTCTACAGAAAAATAGCAGCAACAGAAGAATGACCATTTTGCCCATCATTATACTACAATCATCATTAAACAAAACATAGTGGGAGGCAAACCGAATTTATGACTCTGGGCATCACATCCTTAAACTGAAGGATTTAAAGGAGGATCCTTACAAAGACTGGTCCTGTGATGGTGCAGGGACCACAGTTTCTCGTGTGAGAGGCTTTCATTTCTGTTTGCTCAGTATATAACTCTGTACACCATTGAAATCTCTTGTCTTTTCACCTATTAAATAAAGTGTATTTCTTGTTTGTCATTCTTTAAACACCATAGAAATTTAAGCCTCATTTGCATGTCTTCCTGAGCTCTGACTTGTTCAGTTGCTCACTTCCCTATCTTAGGGGCTCCACAAGAGTGGGAGAACTTTATCCTACCCATGTACTGACTTATTCTATTGCTATACATATTCCTGATATAAAAATGGTATGCAACCAATGACTAATGAATGCTGATTAACTCTAATTGAATAAGTGACTGTTCTGTGACTCTAAGTAGAACACATGAAAGTATAGCAATAGTTATGCCCTCTAAAACTTAGTAACTTAAAATGACAATTATTTCGCTAATAAATCTCCAACTTGGGGATAGCCTATGAGGATCGTCTGTCCCTGGTTCATAAAATGTCAACTGCATGGATTCATTAGTGGAAGGATGTACTTCCAGTACAACTCACTTACATGCACCGCAAGACTATGTTGGCTTATAGCTAGGAGATGAGTTAGAGACTGTTGGCTGTGAATTTCAATTTCTCTCCATGGAGTTCTTTGGAATTTTTCATAGCACAGTGGCCTGGGTTTATAGGTTAAACATTTTAAGAAAAGGGAGATGGAAGCTATTTGTTTTTTTTAGGACATTATCCCAGTAAATTATTTGATCCTGACAATATAATGGTGATATTAGTATAGGGTACTAGCAATAAACATTCCTTTTTGGAAAAAGGGCATAAAGTATATGTTAGTCACTTATAGATGTAAAGCAATACTGAAATTCATCTGGGCACATATTCCCAGTCTTTTGAACAAGACCCAGTTCTATTTCACAGGAATGATTGTCTATGGCTCTTGTCTGTGACTGGTGAGACCCTTTCTCCACTTTCTGATAATCCATCCTTATCCATGGCCATAGGCACTAATTGCAGATTAGCCATTTCCTTAATTTGATCATTCTGTGCAAGAAAGTTGGAAGTTCATAAGTCTCTTCATTGTTACTGTCTCTGTATTCTTTACCACAAATTGATATGATGACTTTATAAAACTTTGTGAGTTTCTTATGTTTTAACATATAAATTCCACCAGGTAAAAATCACAGTTGCATTTCTTTATTTTGGATCACCTTGTGAAACCATATGATCATTACCTTATTATTATTATTTTTTTTGTACCAGGGATCAATCTCAGACCCTTGTGCTTATGAGGCAGGTGCCGGAACCACTGAGCTATATCCCCAACCCTACTTTAATACTCTTAAAATGACCTTTCAATTAAATTAGAGAATTTGTGACCTTCAGATACTAAGAAATCCTAGTAGCCATAAACTTAAAATTTTTTGAGTTTTAACAAAGGGTCTTACTTGAACATTCTTAAGATCTTTATTCTTAAATAATAATTTTCTGATAACATCTTAGATTTGATCTTTTTCCTGAAAACATTTATTACTTTGAGACTCTTTGTTGGGGGAAGTTGTGCTTGAGAAACTTGTTTATTTCTAATCTACTAAGTTCTGAATTCCTTCTATTCCCTCTAAATAATTATAAAAACTTCAATCACTCTTATTCATCCCTCCTTATATTTTATCACAGGTGGCACTTTTTATTGACTTACTAGAAATTTCCATGTGTTAATTTTTAAACATCTATTTAAAGGCTATGGCTTTACACAGTATTTCCAGCCTTTTCTAAAATGTCTAATAATAGATACATTCTTTTAACCAAACTCCACAGCATTTTCTTTATTCTTCAAACCCTCGCTTGCAGAATCATCATGGTCCTCCTACCTGTCAGTAAGAGACACTTAATCTTTTCAGGTTCTCTATACCACCAATTTCCAACTCAATCAAAAATGTTTTAGTTTCTGATTGTAATCACATTCTACTTTTATAACCAAGTTCTAATCTCACTAAATATTGCTGCACAACAAGCTGTATGGAAGTTTAGTTGCTTAAATTAGCAACAATTATTTTGCATACCAATCCACAGTTTTGGCAGAGACGCAGTGAGTTTAGCTTGCATATGTATTCTCTATGTATTCTATATGGGCTAGGCTTGAAAAGTTCAGCCAAGACTGAAGGTTCCATTGATAAGATTGCTCACTTCTGTACTGGCTAGTTCATGTGTACTATTGCTTGTATGTTGTGCTGGAGCTGTTGACCAATAGCCTTAGTTTTCCACATAGATTATCCAAGGAAGGACTGCACTTGCTCAAAACATATTAGCTAGTGTACGGAAGTGGATGTTCCAAAAAACAGGAAGTGGGAGTTGCTAA